CCCCACCTCTCATCCACTCTGAGGCTCTTCTCACCTTTGCCCACCCCCTTCTGGCATGACCACCCCACCTCCTCCCCATCTCCCCCATTCCTTCCCCAAGTGCAAAACGATGCTTCCCAGAAATCCTCCCCCCTAAAACCAAACAGCAAGTAAAAGTATTCCACAATCACTGGGGCTGGCAAACCTAGCACATCAGGATGACACTGGGACTGAAGAGAGGGCTTTAGGAAAGAGGGCCTGGGAGCAGGCATAGCCTTTGAGTATCTATCTATCTAAGACATTGTCTAAAAGATCCAAAGTTTACATCTATTTTCAGGACTCTCAAATAATTGTGAACTTCTCTTGATTTTTGCTACAGATGTGTAGTTATCAAATTACTAGCATAGGGATTCTTGTTAGATCACTGTGTGCTTGGTTCATTTTAGCAAAAGATAGTCCCTTCTCTCACTTGAACTCTTGTCAGCTTGACTACAGGTCCTTTAAAGAGTTCTGCCTTGTCCTGCTCACCTGTAAAGCTCCTACATGGGTCTGCCCAGCTTCCTGGAAGTGTTCACATTCTACCTTCTTTTTCATTCCTTCCTGGTCTACACCCACTGTTGACTATCAAGTATTTCAAATACCCAATGAGTAAAATTTTCACACTTGCCAATTTAATAACTGTGAATGAACTTAACTCTGAGAAGTTGTAATTACTACTGTAATATACCAATTCTACAGCCATACAAACACAAAACAGATCAATAGCGACAGCGAGTGATTACTTTGTACGTCCATTTGCCTTGGGTTCCCTTTAACTAGCCCCCTCCTTTAGTGCCTCTTAAACATGGCTTGATTTGCACTCAGCATTTCAGGAACAAGTCTTTTCTGTGAGTCTCTTCTTGAGTCCCATGTTATCCTGGGGAGGTGATATGGTTTCTGAAGTTCAGTGAAACAGGAACTGGACTGTATTGTTTTGAAACCTTGTTTATTCTCCTAGCTGGTTTTTGCTTTGGTGATTTCAGGACTCACCCTCTCACGGTTCCAGGAATGTTGTCAGAAAAACTGAGATCTCTGTGGTCAGATGGTCTTAGGATTTGTAGTGCGTATTTTTCTGTGTAAACTCAACTGGGTCTCAGACTATTTCCAGGGATTTGACACATTTCAGTCATGTTTTTCTTTAAAGTTAAAAATCATATGTTTTAATAACTTCCTGGAAGAGAACAATTGTTACACACACACACACACACACACACACACACACACACACACACAGCACCTGGGAGAATTTTACCATTTAAAGTAGGGAAAACAATTCTCCTCTC